CAAAGCTAAGAATTATATATGTTTTAACCCATATATTAAATCAGAAATTCATCGAATCATCGAAAACACGAGTAAAGGGAAACTACCAATATATTTTAAAAAGAAAACAATTGCACAAATGTTCTTTCCCCTTAATAAATTATGCGCTATGCACCGCGAAACATGAAACTTATAAAAAGTGAATTTCAACGGCATGGGTACATTAAAGGAATTTAGTTCTTGTAAAGTCAGAACAGTTAGAGTCAGAGCGGATCCGCGGACATGTTGCGATGAAGTAAAAATTCATGTTAAATATTGTTAATTTATTTAGGGTTCAAACCCTTATGTATAATTAGTCATCAACCCGTACTTAATTCAAAGTTTAAGATTCAGATTTAGTAAAGTAAAAATGTTCTCTTTAGACCTAGCGTTCCATTGGGAGTAGGTGGAGTAGAGTTCATGTTTCTTGATCTCGGCATATCAAGAAATCGAGGGGTTAGTGCTTTGCTCTGACGCTTTTTTCCACCAACGTAAGTCAGTTACCTATTAGAGCTGGGTAAACTCAGGGTGGTCTTACACAAGTGATCCGAACTCGAGACCTTCGGGTCAACAGCTAAACGCTAAGAATCAGATAAACTCTACTTTGTCTGCTACACAGGCTGCCAGATCAGAAAGGTGTAAATACTTTAAAATCTGGCTATGCTTGTTTAGTCTACATTGTCAAAATATGTTTTTGAAAGTTATTTTAAAAACTTTTTTTTTACCATGTCTGTCCTATGATAAGGTACATTATGTGCTTCTAATTTGTCGTTTATACATTTTGTGCATTTGAAACTTTATTATTTGTAATATTTCAAATTGTATTTGCTATTTAGCTCGATTTTTTAAAAAAATATGTATTCTATTAAATGATTTCAGTTTCAAATTTATTTATTAATAGTATATTTATTGTTATTTAATATTTTTTTAAAAATTAAACACAAATGAAAACTTAAAGCTAATTTGGATATGATGAGATAATAGCGTTAGGGATACTGGTAGAAACACGCGTCGGGAAAGATTCTTAAGGAAAGACATTTAAAACCCGCTGGTCAGCAGATGATAATATAATTAGACTAAAATAATATAACCAGGAGAGTACACATAAGAGCCCAAACAACCACTTGTAGTTCTGGAAACCATTTGAAATAGCTAAACAGTTTGAAACAGTTCATTTTACACCATTCTCTAGCTAATTCTTGCACTATTCTCTAGCTAATTCTTGCGACATTCTCCATCTAATTCTTGCACCATTCTCCAGCTAATTCTTGCACCATTCTCTAGCTAATTCTTGCACCATTCTCTAGCTAACTCTTGCACCATACTCCAGCTAATTCTTGCACCATTTTCCAGCTAATTCTTGCACCATTCTCTAGCTAATTCTTGCACCATGCTCCAGCTAATTCTTGCACTATTCTCTAGGTAATTCTTGCACTTCAGGTAATTTTTGTACCAAGCAAAACAAGTATTTACTTGATTGGTTGTTTTAAATATATTTTATCAAACATCAAAACACTTAAACTCACATAATAAACGAAACAAATAGCTAAAAATATTTACACAATTTTATTAAGTTATGCACAAATTTATGTTGGGGAAAAAATAAAATTACAACATTCAGTAATAAGATAAATCAAAATTAGAAAGGCAAAAAAAAAAGTTAAATTGAACTAAATTTAAAACCTTGAAATATTTTTTCTAACTAAACATGTATACTCCGGGATTCGGTAACCAGTAAGGATAATAATGTCTTAAGACGTATGGCGAATTCGATTTTAAAAAACCAGTTTGAACATGAGAATTTTGTCAAATTTAGTTTTTATTAACCAACTGCCAATTTAACATAATTGATAAGTATCCAAATTTAGAAACTATGAATTTATGTATAGAGGTAACTTAAAAAAATTTAAAAAAAAAACGGAGGAAGGGTGCAAAGAGGTATTGCATGCAGTCAACAAAAAAATTCAACTAAAATTGCAGGGGAAATATGCAAGATTATCAAAAAGGCAAAAAAAGTGTTTTTACACAGAGGTAAAAAGAAAATATTGAAAACACAATGAAAAACCAAATTTCATGCAGGCTAATGGGGAATTATGGCCTAAACATTGTTTATTTATCCACATAGAATTGTTTTTAATGTTACACTTTTGCGGCATTGTATTAATTTAATTGATTTTCATAAATACATTATCTTTATTTATACATAAATCTAAACTACTTTCGATTTTTATCTTGAAAAAAAACCTAAAACTAAAATAAACATTTAATAAACATCAGCATTATGTGAATGGGTTGAATTTTTTAGACATATTAAATTGTATTGCATAAATACAAATTCATTTAATACTTTAATATTTTATCCCTAAATATTTCGTTACATTCTAATAAAACTTTCAGTTGCTTTGATTCTCATCTGAGATATGAGATTTAAAGATTAATATCTAAAACATATCTATTTCTTTAAAAAATTCGTTAATTTATAAAAGTGGATAAATTTTAAACCTTTATTTTAAGTATATTTTCAATAATAAACTTTAACTACGAAATTTAAAAATAATATAAAAAAAGCTAAAAATTATATAAAACATTTTATGACTGATAATGAACACCAGGGTTTAAATAATGGAGTTGCCAGATCAAATGTTTGAAGTTGTGTTGTTTTTTATTTCCCCATATGTATAATCAAAAAGAATTGTGGCAGTATGAAGTGACGAAACTTAAAATGATTTTAAAGCTTATAAGTATACTTTAGAAATAATATAGTATAATGAACACATCTAATAGACTATTTAGGTGGTATAAATCCTCTCTCTAGCTAGACTGGGCATTGTTAAGTGTACCATATTATGGTGCACAACAACAAATAACTCAAACTACTGTTTTGGTAATTAGACTAACAATCTAAACAGCACAACTGGAATGCGGAAAACATTATTTTTAAAAAAAAAAAATTTTTAAATCTCAAATAGAAACGATAAAATATAATTGATTAAGTTTTCAATATTATTTGCCTAGATTTTGAACATTTTTCAAAAAATAATGTTAAAAATTCTGAATTGTTAATTTATATATTGAAGATTAAATCCATGGATCTACAAAGTATTTTTAATTTTCGAAAGCTTTTATTTCCATATTTGTTGAAAAATTTAAAATAACTCCCAAAAAGTTATGACGAGTAGACATCAAACTAAAGCTATTAAATAAATATAATATTAATTTAAACAATTCGAATCTATTTTGTAGTTAAAGAAACACTGACATTGAGTGGTTAGAAAACTTCAAACAAAAAGATGTCGATTATCAAATTGGCAATATTGGATACATAAAATATTAAGCTTTAAAATTTGGAAACGGAACAAATAACTTTAAAAGCAAAAAAAAAATATATATATATTAAAAATAATGAAGAAGCCTTTTATATCTCCCAAAAACGACGTTATCCTTTATTTTATGATATTAGTATCTCAGTTAAGTTTTAAACTAACATTTAAATAAAATATTTATTTCTGTAATTTTGTTTCGAACTGTTTTAATAACTCATAGTAATACCATAGTGCTTTTATTTAGCAGAATCAGTGCTTAAAGTGAAAGATGCATGCAGTGGTGAGTGCAGAGTACGTTAAAAAATAAATACATTACAACATGTTACAATTATTTCAAATTTAGAACAATTATTTTGTCTCAATAGAATTGACAAATAAAAATTTCCCTATTTCATTTAATAAAGCGCTCTATGCTTTATTGAATTTGAAAGCTTAATAGTAATTGTGAGTAAATAGCTTATTGATTAATTATGTCTTGAAATTAAAAGTTTCATAGTAAAAAAAATTCAAATTTAAAATATTATTCTGAAATCGCCTATACACTCACTACAGTAATAGCTTCTTAGACATAAGAGGAGTGAAAATAATAACAGACCATTGGTCTAAGGTTTATAAATAATTTCAAAAGCATTAAATAAAATATTTTTAATAATATAATATACAAATTATATATTAGTTTTTTTGCTTACATTATCACGTAGTATTTGTCGATGAGCATTTGAAAAGAAAGAACATATACAGCAGGAGAGATTATGTAAGTGAAAAATTCGTCCCGGGGGGGGGGGAGGGGTAGGTATCAGGGGTCTGGCCTGGCTACACACTAGTAGTGAATGAAACTCAGAGCCCACTTGATTTTTACAAAAACTGGTATTAATGCAGTTATGTCCCTTTGCCTAAATATGTCGTAAAAAAAATCTCGAATTAAGAACTTATGATCAAGTAACAGGAAATTTGCATTAACAATTGGAATTGTAAAAATTAATTAAAAGTATTAAAATTCAGTGTAATTTTGTGATTGGTATTTGAACAAATGCAAATGCAAAATGCTGATGCTAATTGCTAATCATGAACACAAAAAGTGGTCCCAAATTTTTAGTATGAATGTTTTAAAGTGGAATGAAATAGGTTTTCAAATAGTATTCGCAGGTGCATCTTTGTATTAATGATTTAAAATACGTCGATAGAGTAACATAAGTTTAAAAAAATATTTTAAATTTTCAATTTATGAAGAAATCTTCGTAATTAAAATCAATTGTATTATGGTTATTAAAAGAAATTGAATTGTGAGAAAACATAATTTGAAACATTTAGGAAAAAAAATTATTCAACCTTGTTAGTGTTTAACAGAAATGACATTTAAAAAACAATTGTAATGAATAAAGAATTGTTAAAAAATTACAATATACATATTACATAGTTCATTATTAAGGCTATCATAATTTCACAATAAATTATAAAAACTATATGGTATTTGGTGTTATTTTAATATTTATACAGCTAACTAAAATCTTAGGGCATACACCATTGAAGGCACTGAGAATAATATATATATATATATATATATATATATATATATATATATATATATATATATATATATATATATATATCATATATATATATATATATATATATATATATATATATATATATATATATATATATATATATATATATATATATATATAAAGGCACTACATTTCGTACTTAATTTTCTACAAGTTTTAAGGCCTCTGTTTGTTTGCTAAAAGATTAACGTTTAAGAAAATGAAATAGAAAAAACAACTTTAAGAAGATTAAGTGCAAAGAGTGCATTCAGCTGAGCAATTCCTCGTTTAGCTGTTGCGAAGTGCAAAAGTGTCTCACAAGCGGGGAGTACAATTTTAAAAAGTGAATGAAAGAAAATGAAAGGCCGAGTGAGCCGAAGAGAAAATATATTTACACAATTGGCTTCATCCAGAGTAAACATTGAAAAATTTACGGCATGACTTAGTAGTTTAAACTTAATTATCTAAGTATTTTAATCTATATTTTTGCTAAATCTTAAGAATACTCGAAAATATTAATGTTAATGTATACAATTTTTTTAAAAAAATGTTATTCTATGTTTACAAATCTAGTCCTAACTACCGATTTTGTATGTTTAAAATTACATTGATATTTTTTAACTATAGTGCCAATGTTATACAATGGTGATTTTGACTTCATATGCTCAGTGGATATTTTTCAAAGCCGATGTACAATTTCATTAATTATAAGGAAACAATTAATTAAAACAAATTTCTTTTTGAGGATTTTTGTAAAAAAGAAAACGGAAATTTAAAATGGTGAAAACATTAAAGACACATATGTAAAGTAATTGTATGTAAATATAGTATGTTATATATGTATATTTTTTACAAAATAGTTTATTTAAGATGTAAGCTTTCGCTAGCTGTAGGATTAGGATTTAAATTAACGAGACAGCCTCAATTACAGCAGCCAAAGCTTAAAAGCAGCTTAATTAATTAATTACATAATTGGTACACAGTATATCCACCACAACCTTAAAAAATACAAACGCGAAAAAAAATTAAAAAATATACAGCTAAAAAAATCATTCAGTTGTGTTTGACGTTTAAAATAACAACACCATCCTTCTTTACCGACGCAAATCTTTCTTTAACATTGGTAGGTTTAAATACTGATATGAAGGGGAAACAACTTTAATTTAATGCTGACACAACCAATAAATACAGCCATCCAACCAGCCCTATTTGAAGCAGAACTTCTCAACTCTAAATCATTCCAGAACACACCTCATTCCATAATATTTTTTTTTACATTTTACATTTTATTTTAATGATTAAAATAATAAATTACATAGCTGTTAATAAAAGTAAAGCACAATTTTAATATTTAATTTCACATTATAAAAATATGGGTTGATACCACGTTAATTTATGTTAAAAATTGGTTTCAACGCATACATGAAAAAAATAAAAAAATAAAACAACAATGGAGTCCGAAATCACTGCTGATTGGCTGATATTTTTAACTCAACCATGCTTGACCGCGTTACGTCCGTACACCTCTCGCTCACCCCAGAAGCTGGACAGACAAAAGGTCACGGGGTCAGGTCACGAGAAGGACCACTCCTCCTTACAAAGACCCTCCTTACAGGCCTGACAAAGCTCGGCGTTGTGCTGGTTCCTGGGCTTCCCCTGGCGTCTGTCGATCCTCAGTGGGGGGCGCACAAACCCATAGTAGATCTGGCCAACACGGTTGTAAACATTGCCGATGACCTGTTGGTAGGCAAATTAATACAAGTTGTATATACATATTGAATACATACGTTTTACATGAATATAGAATATATGAGAGGAGTTGCATGCAGAGGCGTAGCGACCCATCCCGGCGCACGGGGACAAACTTTCGATTTGCACCCCCCTTCGAACTTTTCATTTGCACCCCCCTCCTCAAACTTTCGATTTGCACCCCCCCCCCCTCGAACTTTTCCTTTTCACCCCCCCCCCCCCTCAAACTTTCGTTCTGCACCCCCCTCGAACTTTTCATTTGCACCCCCCTCAAACTTTCAATTTGGCGCCCCCCTAAGGTCGGCGCCCGGAAACATATGCCCCCCCCCGCCCTCCCCCTTGCTACGCCTCTGGTTGCATGTTAATATTGAATACGTACATTTTACATGTAAAAAAATATTTAAGAAAAGACTTAGATTCACTAGCTCATATAGAAGAGTACCCATGACTCATCTCTTTTCAATGTTTAGTAAATTGAATCAACTTTTCGAACGTGATGGCTCATGGGGCAAGTAAAGTAGAGTTCACCTGTTTCTGTGACCTCGGCATATGAAGGGATAGTGTGGTCAGTACTATGCCCAACCGCTTTTACTTTTTGTAACGTGAGTTATGTACCGATATTATGTACCACACCACAACGGCCGACAAACCACCCTAAGCAAAGACATACCTTGACCCCTGACAGGAAATTATATCTTGACCCCAATAACCTGTTAAAAACCTATCCGACCTCACAAAAGACCTACCCTAACCCCCACCATCCCCCACCCACAAAAGACCTACCTTAACCCCACCCTTCCTCACCCACAAAAGACATATCCTATACCCACCCTGCCCCCACCCACAAAAGACATATCCTATACCCACCCTCCCCCACCCACAAAAGACCTACCCTAACCCCCACCCTCCCCCACCCACAAAAGACATATCCTATACCCACCCTCCCCCACCCACAAAAGACCTACCCTAACCCCCCTCCCCTACCCCCCACCCCCACCCCCACGAGACCTACCTTAACCACCTCCTCTGGGTACCACATGGCATGCTCGTAGCTTCCATTCTTACACTTCTGGCACTGCTGACCGTACAGTCTGAGCCTACCCTAACCCCCCTCCCCTACCCCTACCCCCCCCCCACCCCCCACCCCACCCCCAGAAGACCTACCTTGACCACCTCCTCTGGGTACCACATGGCATGCTCGTAGCTTCCATTCTTACACTTCTGGCACTGCTGACCGTACAGTCTGAGCCTACCCTACCCTAACCCCACCCCCCCCCCCACCCCCCACCCCACCCCCAGAAGACCTACCTTAACCACCTCCTCTGGGTACCACATGGCATGCTCGTAGCTTCCGTTCTTACACTTCTGGCACTGCTGACCGTACAGTCTGAGCCTACCCCACCCCCCCCCCCCCCCACCCCACAAGACCTACCTTGACCACCTCCTCTGGGTACCACATGGCGTGCTCGTAGCTTCCATTCTTACACTTCTGGCACTGCTGGCCGTACAGCTTGAACATCACGTAGCCGGCATTTCCCGGCTGGGTGAGCTGGAACCAGAAAATGACCCGGCCTTTCATGGAGGTCCAGCCGTGACCACATTCCTGGAAATTAATCAACTCATTAAAACATGTATATGCATAGTTTTAGTTTTCAGGTTTTAACTTGCTCAAAGTTCAAAGAAAGAGTTAGTATTTGCTTACGCCAAAAGTTTAGGATAGGTTTTATATTTATTAAAGACCTTCAGTCTGAAAGGATAAGTTACTTCTTGTGTCCCACCTCCCCCCCTTCCCCCGACAGTAGTGTTTCTTTCTCTTCGCGAGGAGGGGGTATCGCCCGTCTACCGCACCCCACCCCCCTCCAACGTAAGAAATAAATTTTATTTAGAAAATAAATACTTTTACCAGTATTCGCCTCCCTCTTCCCACCGGAAAATTTAGTGCGCCCCCTATAAGTTTCAAATGTCTGAAAGAAACATTGCCCCTTAGCCAACATGTTACATATCCAACCATTTACCCAAATAATTACACGTCTAAACTTCAAAGCCAACGTTCCACAAGCTTCATAGAAAAGCCAACAACCTAAAAGTTACATAGATCCCCTCTACACCTATAATATTACTCAATCGCCTCATGTATCCCTGAAGGTAACTAGTCGCCATAGTATTTTATACAAAATTTGGCACCCAAATAGTCAGACGCCCATACACCTATAACATTAACAGGCGCTCCTAACACATAGGCCATAAGGAGTCGCATAAACCTCTGTAGCCAAACTAGGCGCCCGATCAACCAGTTAGTGTAGAGGACACTCCCACATAGGCTAAACCCCAACCACCTTCCCACAACCCAATAGGACATCCCACATAGGCTAAGACCCAACCACCTTCTCACAACCCAACCCTTCCCTCTTTAATTTACACGTGTAACACAGTGTAACAATACAAGGAGGACCCAGTAGACTGTACTCACCTGACATGAGAACCTGACCTTGGCGCTGTCCTTGAAGACGCGCCATCTGTCGGTGGGTGGGTAGAAGGTGGGCACAAGGAACCAGGAGTGGGGGTAGTACTGGTTGAAGAGGCGGTCAAACTCCCCATGCCAGACCAGTTCCATCCTGCAATAGAAGGACACACCTGTTACTACACACATGTTACTACACACCTGGTGATACACACCTGGTGATACACACCTGGTGATACACATGTTTTACACACCTGGAGATACACACCTCGTGATACACACCTGGTGATACACACCTGGTGATACACACCTGGTGTTACACACCTGGTGTTACACACCTGGTGATACACACCTGGTCATACACACCTGATGATACACACCTGGTGATACACAACTGGTGTTAGACACCTGGTAATACACACCTGGTGATACGCACCTGGTGATACACACCTGGGGATGCACACCTGGTGATACGCACCTATTCCTACACACCTGATGATACACACCTGGTGATACACAACTGGTGTTAGACACCTAGTGATACACACCTGGTGATACACACCTGGTGATACACACCTGTTACTAAACACCTGGTGATACACACCTGGTGATACACACCTGGGGATGCACACCTGGTGATACGCACCTATTCCTACACACCTGATGATACACACCTGGTGATACACAACTGGTGTTAGACACCTAGTGATACACACCTGGTGATACACACCTGGTGATACACCTGGTGATACACACCTGGTGATACACACCTGTTACTAAACACCTGGTGATACACACCTGGTGTTAGACACCTGGTGTTAGACACCTGGTGATACACACCTGGTGATACACACCTGGTGATACACACCTGGTGATACACCTGGTGATACACACCTGGTGATACACACCTGTTACTAAACACCTGGTGATACACACCTGGTGTTAGACACCTGGTGTTAGACACCTGGTGATACACACCTGGTGATACACAACTGGTGATGCACACCTGGTGATACACACCTGGGGATGCACACCTGGTGATACACACCTGGTGATGCACACCTGGTGATACACACCTGGTGTTAGACACCTAGTGATACACACAAGGCGATACACACCTGGTGATACACACCTGGCGATACACACCTGGCGATACACACCTGGTGATACACACCTGGTGATACATACCTGGTGATACACACCTGGTGATACACACCTGGTGATACACACCTGGTGATACACACCTGGTCATACACACCTGGTCATACACACCTGGTGTTACACATCAAATCCTACACATGTTTTACAACACGTCTGTAACTCAATATAGGTATAACACACCTATTACAACACAACTGCTAATATACATGTACTATTACATAATATATAACATATTAGTCATCATAAAGTCTGCATTTATTGTTCGATAAAATAAAATCGGTTTACTAACTGCAACACAAATTAATAAAATCTAATTTTAAAAAAGAATTATGCATATATTAGGTTAAAAGAAATAAAGCAAAAAAGTTAAGCGTAGTGATGTCAGTTGTGTTAGCATTGATGATTATAACCATGAAAATGAAAGATTTTTAAAATTTGTAATGCATTTAGTTGTGACTGTGTACTCGTTTTATTGTGAAAGTAAATACAGCTAAAGAGGTAAAACAAATTTCTAAAATAATTCCGAAACAAAAAAAACATGTACTCAACATTAGCATGTATACGGAGTTGGTGGGGGTGATGGGGGACGGGGACCGCTGGAGGGCGTCCAGGGCGGCCGCCACCCGCGGGTGGACGGGCTTAGAGATGACCAACATGTCGACAGTAGCCAGTTTGGGATAGTGGCGATTTGACCTTGGCCTAGTGGCGATTTGACTTTGGCCTAATGGCGATTTGATCTTGACTAGTGGCGATTTGACCTTGGCCTAGTGGCGATTTTGTCTTGACTAGTGGCGATTTGACCTTGGTCTAATGGCGATTTGACCACAGTAATATCCTCCCCACGAACCAATTCACTGATGTCTTCTATAAAATACTAAAACACAAACTTTCCAAAACGAAAACTTTCGAAAACGAAAAAAAAAAGGTTTTTTTTAATATCAAATATCGTTAGCTTACAAACACAATTGTATTTTTTTTATTAATTTTTTCCAATGAATGTTGTTTTTTTTTTAATTAAAAAAGATATTAAATAGTCAACGCAGAATAATACACCACACAACAATATTTTCTTTAATTAATGAATCTGTTGGTGAATCCAAAAAATTATCCTTTATTTCCTAAGGTTAACGACGAGATGATAACGCTGCAATTAAAGTCGAATAACTTCAATGGACAACTTTTTATATAAATAATAAAAGTCATTCATAACAACTTGCTGTGCGGCCAAAATTATCTAACAGGATTTGACTCATTGAATTTTATTCGATATATTGTTTCATAGATTACGATTACAGTACAAATGTATAGAATATTTGTACTCGTCAAAAAGTAATCGTTTGGATGTTAACCACATGTCAATACATTAACGATCATTAATCTTTGATAATGTCAACACAATTTAGAATCGTCTCCCCTTGTCGCATAGCTGGAATATTTAAAATAGGGCTAAGGCTGTGTATACACGATCATGGCGTGGATTTTATTTTAATATTTAATTTTTGTTCCCCACTTTTAACTTCCTAAGAATTTAAGTTCAAGTCATATCTTTTAGAGCTAGCATTTTTCTTACACATGTCATATAAGGCTAGCTAAAGCAGCTATAATTTCAAGTTTTGGCATTTAAAAAAAAATAACATAGGTGTATCTCCTGGTCGAGGGGTGTGAGGGAAAGAGGGTAGCGAATGGAATAGATGCGGCGATTTTTATAAAATAATATGTATAGTTAAGTATCGGCGGTGTGCATGGGGACTGGGTAAAAGGGATGGGGGCTGATGGCATACAGTATATAGATGTATGTATTTATTTATATATACGACCCGAAATCAGGGAGAACCTATGATGCAATCTCTCAACAAAGTGATCACAGTCGCGCCGTGTGAACACAGACTTAGAGAATCTAATACCTCTCAATGGTAACGTGGAGGTAGCTTACATCGACACGACATCCACCGTCGACGCTATTTAAAAAAAAAAAAAAAAAACAACACACTGTCGATGGATGTAATTAAATCAAGTATTTACAAGCTAGAGATTAAAAACATTAAACAGTTTGGTTAATTAATGATAGTAAGATGCATTTTGGCTCAACGATTTGAATATATGCACAGATAAGAAAGATTATGTTGAACGGGGGAGGTAATTAGTGGAGGAATGCAGTGAATATGAGGGTGAACATTGTACTTTAGTAGCTTAATTTAATCGGTGATTTGTTGAATGATAGGGGCGTTCAGCATCATGTTTTCCCGTTTGTACCCAAGACACATGGGACAGATGAAGTAGAGTTCATTTGTTTCAATGACATCGACATACAAGTTAGGTACCCATCAGAGCTGGGTGGGCTCAGGGACGTTCTACTGATTTGAACCCGGCTTCGAACTCGAGACTGTCGGGTTAGCAGTCTATATCTCTACTGCTAGGCCACGCAATTCCTTAGGGGCGTTAGATAGATGAAAAATACGACCGATTTCTGTTTAAAGAAATTATAGAAAAGTTTCAACAACTGGATCCCACCAAATGTTCGAAAATCATCGTCAGTCTTTTGAAGAGAAATTATAGGCGAGTGTGATATTAATTGCGATTTTTAACTTTTAAAATGTATTTTTGCTACGATATGTTGCTGTCGGGGGAAAGGGGCTGGGGGGGGGGGGGTCGAAATGGGGTTGAATCGGGATAAGGGTGGGGAAGAGGTATGAATATTAAGCAAGAGAGTGGGAAAAAGAAGTTATAAACACAAATTCTTTGTACATCGACTCTGATAATGATGGATAGGGTCAAAGTACATTTGAATGAGATACTGAATTACTGCGATTTAGATCAAATGTTTTCGAATTTCAAGTCGCGGTTGCTTCCCCTGTGTGTCAAACGCGGTTGCACCCCTTGTTGAAAGAATTGTTTTGTTTTAAACGTGTGTTAAGTGATTTATGCCCATTGGCGACGGCTGAGCATGCGTGGGAAAATAGGGGCTAGACAGTCAGTGTGGGTCCAGGCTGGTGTGTGGGGAGTGTGTGGTGTGGGGAGTGTGGGGAGTGTGTGGTGTGGGGAGTGTGTGGTGTGGGGAAGAGTGTGGTGTGGGGGAGTGTGTGGAGTGTGGAGTGTGTGGTGTAGGGGAGTGTGTGGTGTTTGGTGTGGGGAAGTGTGTGGTGTGGGGTAGTTTGTAGTGTGGGGAGTGTGTGGTGTGGGGAAGTGTGTGGTGTGGGGGAGTGTGTGGAGTGTGGAGTGTGTGGTGTAGGGGAGTGTGTGGTGTTTCGTGTGGGGAAGTGTGTGGTGTGGGGTAGTTTGTAGTGTGGGGAGTGTGTGGTGTGGGGAAGTGTGTGGTGTGTGGTGTGGGGGAGTGTGTGGTGTTTGGTGTGGGGAAGTGTGTGGTGTGGGGTAGTTTGTAGTGTGGGGAGTGTGTGGTGTGGGGAAGTGTGTGGTGTGGGGGAGTGTGTGGAGTGTGGAGTGTGTGGTGTAGGGGAGTGTGTGTTGTGGGGAATGTGTGGTGTGGGGGAGCGTGTGGTGTGGGGAATGTGTGGTGTGGGGGAGTGTGTGGTGTGGGGGAGTGTGTGGTGTGTTGTGTGGGGAAGTGTGTGGTGTGGGAGAGTGTGTGGTGTGGGGAGTGTGTGGTATGGGAAGTGTGTGGTGTGGGGAGTGTGGGGGAGTGTGTGGTGTGGTGAGTGTGGGGAGTGTGTGGTGTGGGAGAGTGTGTGGTGTGGGGAGTGTGTGGTATGGGAAGTGTGTGGTGTGGGGAGTGTGTGGTGTGGTGAGTGTGGGGAGTGTGTGGTGTGGGGGAGTGTGTGGTGTTTGGTGTGGGGAAGTAAGTGTGTGGTGTGGGGTAGTTTGTAGTGTGGGGAGTGTGTGGTGTGGGGAAGTGTGTGGTGTGGGGGAGTGTGTGGTGTGTTGTGTGGGGAAGTGTGTGGTGTGGGGGAGTGTGTGGTGTGGGGAGTGTGTGGTATGGGAAGTGTGTGGTGTGGGGAGTGTGGGGGAGTGTGTGGTGTGGGGAGTGTGGAGAGTGTG